CTCTCTCTCTCTATCTCTCTCTCTCTCTCTCTCTCTCTCTCTTCTCATCTCCCCTTTGCATTCTCGTACCCCTGTGCTGTAAGTGTTTGTGGTCGGCTCATCATGGTGCTCACACCAAACGCTTGCTCTACCTCTTCCCTCCTTACTCCCCCGTCCTCGTTTTTTGTCTCAAATGCAGATATAATGACTGGGCATTCTGTTCGGGTGAAGACGGTAGGAGGATGGAATGCATCATTTCATATCGTGAAAGAACATGGAAAAAAAGCATTGTGAGCCAGAAAAGAAAAGCTCAATTTAAACGAAATGGGAGTTGGACTAGAAGTTAGTACTCCATCTGTCGGGAGCAACCCCGCCAGCGGCATGTTATTTTTGTCCTTTTTTTTCTGGACGTCCTTTAAAATTGGAAAGATAGGTATTCTGCGCATGTTTCTGTTTGTTGTGTCCAACATTTTGCTCCGCTGTCTCTCCGCCGTCGTGGTCGCGCCATTGTCAACGCCAGCAGCTAGGTGGACTTCACCATCCGTCTCACGGCGAGGAGAGAAGAGGACGAGGAGGAGGTGGAGGAGATCTGGAGGTGGAGGAGGAGGAGGAGGAGGAGGAGGAGGAAGTAGACCTACTGGAGTTTTGTGCGGAAGCTCTTACATCCGTCAGTCAGGACGACAAGTACGTAGAGTCTCTACCTTCTTTTGGTTCAGGACAACAAGTATTTAACCATCTGTCTCGTGGTGAGGAAAGACGAGGACAAGGACTCCGAGGAGCAAGTTGAGGAGGAGGAGGAGATCTGGCACTGGTGGAGGAGGAGGAGGTCGAAGACCTTAAGGGGATCATCACTCCAGCTGTTGCTGGAGGGAGAGGAGGAGGTAGACTTACTGAAGTTTTCTGCGAAAGCTCCATGATCTCGTCGGTTCACGTTGTCCACGTTCCGTCAGGGCGACAAGTACGTTCAGTCTCTACCTTCTTTTGTTCCATGCAGGTCACACGAAAACCTCCATAGCTGACAACCTTGGTCGGCAGAAAGTTGTGACCATCAGGAAGACATAGCTCAGTCACCACTTATTCCTTTGCTTACCGAGCCGTCCGTACTCCTGAATAAGGGCCGGAGTGTTGGTTGGGGTCTTAACCCCTCACAGCGTCGGCCAGGGCTTGCAGGATTGAGTGACAGCCTGCATGGGGAAACCCATTACCTGTGCGCAGGATCGCGTAGCTATCAGCCAGAAGCTCCATGGGGCTTTGGGTTCTTACCGAGGCAAGACCGGACGGGGGAGGGCTATGCTAGAGGCTGTACTGCAGAAACAAGATCGTACGAAAACTCCTCCGGACCGGGTGCGGAAGAAATCTCCAGATTGTGAGCAGTGTGCTCCTGCAGTGTTTGAAGGCCCTAAACTCACAGGAAACGATGACCCTGATTTCGCCCCTCCACGAAATTCAATCCGACGGCGCAAACTGGACGTTGAATCGATGCGATCAGATCAATGGTTCTCGTTCAAGGGCCAGGAAGCCAGACCCTTCCGTTCGGGATTTCTTGGGATGACCAACCTTGGCAATACGTGCTACATGAATGCAGTTTTGCAAGCGCTGGTGAGTCTAGGGCCGTTCATTGCGGACATGCAACACGCAGCGCTGATGGAGAGCAGCCTTCCATCGAGCGCAGTATATAAAGCTCTACTGCGTGTGGTCCTGGAGGCAAAGAATGGTGGGTCCAATGGCTCGAAGACGATCAACCCCTCTGCACTCAAGGAATCGATTGGAATGAACGACAAGCGATTCACGGGCGCTAGGCAGCAGGATGCGCACGAGTTCCTATGCCAGCTGCTGGAGCTTATCCAGATAGAAGTGTGCGGCAGCTGTGAAGCGAAACACCACTCTTCGCCAGGAAGGAGATCACTGAAAGTCTCTCTTCAAAGGACATTGTGCCCGACAACCAGAAGCTTCAGTTGCATTGTCGAGCATCGGCTGAAGTGCAGGGATTGCGAAGATGAGTCGGTCATCGAGGAGATGTTTCGGCACCTGTCTCTTGATATAGTACCTGAAAGGAAGCCTGCTAGCGGGGAGCAATTTGGCACGATCCTCGCAGATGTGCCTGACGTGCGGTCGCTCATTGAGGCGTACTTCGAGGACGAAACATTTACCAAGAAATGCGAGAAGTGCGGTTGCGACACGACGATTGTGCGACACAAGATTTGCCGCCTTCCGAGAGTGCTCGTGCTGCACTTGAAGCGCTTTCACGTACAGACGACCGATGATGGTCGGAACTACAGATGCATCAAGCGAAACGACCCAGTCAAAGTGTTGCCTCAGCTCGATCTGGGTTTCTGCTGCAGTCCTTCAACAAGATGCCCCATACCTCTGCAGCATCAAAAGAGCATCTCCAAGGGCGCGGATGTTTGTGCGTCATTGCCACGCAAGGGCCCACTAGCCGATGTGAGTAACACGCTAGCAACGAACGGCAATAGCAGGGGAACAAGTGCAACAGGTCAGCAACTCGCGGCAAGCCATGGAGGGGTGTCGGCCAGCGTCGGCAGAATACATTCGAAGGAGAGGCCAGATATCAACAGTTGTACCAATCCTCCTCTGCTGGAGAGGGTGGTACATGAATCAGGACATCACGAGTCCCGATTACCAGGACCGAACAGGCAGTTGGAGGAACAGGAGGTGCCATCAGACTCTGCGGGAACAACAGGGATGTTGGACGATGACGAAGATCTGGCCCGTGCGATTGCTTTGAGCCTCCAGTCATCAGCAGCAGCTGTTCCAACCGATATGGAGGTGGATGGAGCTTCGAGTGAAAGCGTGGAAGCTGCAGAAAACCAAGGATCAGCGAAGGACGAACCACCATCGCTGAACCCTCTATGGATTGATGTAGTTGATGAGGAGGCTGCGGAAGGCATTCCGGAAAGAAAGGAGGATGGAACCCTCTCAGACTGCTGCAGCTCCGAGTACTCGTTGCATGGCATTATCAGCCACATTGGTGCAGAGGTGTCATGCGGCCATTTCGTAGCAGACATCCTTCAAGTTGACCAGTGGCGCTCTCAATGGTATCGCCATGACGACTCGCTAGTTTCGCCGGTTAGCGATTCGAGTGTCTTCAGTATGAGGGAGTTCTCGGAGTGTTATTTGTTATTTTATGTTCACAAGGAGTTCGCGAATCAATGCCCTGTGCCTCAGAAAAGAAATTTGATGTTCCTGGCCGCGCAAGAGAAGCAGCAGCATGCAAGTCCTCCTCAGATTCAGAAGCAACCTGCTGCTTCCGAGACTGCCCCGCCTGTTGTGGTAGCAGGCGATGAGCCATGCTTCCGAAAGCCCACGGGTCTTCAAGAGCCAGGTAGTTCCGAGAAGAAAGCACGGCCAGCACCGCAGCTTAGTAGGAAACGAGGAGCCACAGCTCCACAACCTCAAGCGAAAGGTCAACTCTATTCATGGTTGCTACGAGAGAAATCCGATTCGGATCCGCCGGCACTGCGGCAAGAGCGGCCACGACCTACAGATGTTGCCACGACGATGCAGATGCAGCAGTCCCATCACGGCCAAGCAGCGGGTCCTACACGGGAACCTACAGGGTCTGAGCCTACATCGCCTGGAGAGCAAGCCACAGGTTCCCGTGCGGACAAACAAGGAACGCTGCCGACACCTTCGTCATCCACACCAGTGCAGCCATTGTCAAGAGAAGAGAGAGAAGAAGAGGAAGAAGATACGATAGAAGATACGGTGGTTTCTGTAGGGAGGACCCCCCTGCGCACATTTCTGGAGGAGGAGGAGGTTTTCTCTGTTGGTAGGGCCCCCACGCGATCGAAGAGAAGAGCTTTGCACGGTTCGCGTTCTGACCGTACCAGCTCACCTGGCGTGCGAAGGTCATCACCTCGAATCGCCCGCAGCAGCTCCTCATCCTGTTCGCAATCAAGACTTCAAAAGGGACCTCTCCAACTCGACTTGCCGAAATTGTGGACCAGCGTGGATGACAACTCAGCAGCGGCAGAGACCGATACCGACTTGGAAATCGTCGAACAAGAACGGGCGGTGAATTTTCCATCATTCACAGATATCTATCCTGGACCAGATGCAGAGTCAAAGTCTTTCGTCAAATATAAAAGGCGTGGAAGATGACGAGGTATACCGTATAGTACATAGAGCTAGCTAGCTTCAGCAATTTTGGCCACCTCCTGGGTTAAGAATTTTCAATGTTGTGATCGTTCTCCAATCAGTGTGTAATCACTGTGTATATGTTTATCCGATCTTTTTTTGTACCGAACATGCTTGTATGCAGGCAGGCTGTATACACAAGCATACGTCTGACCGCCCTGCAGCCTTGCTGCCTTGGCGCTCGTCGCCATCGATCATCAGCCAAGCTGCTGATTTGTGTCGATGTGCTGCCCGAGCCGCGTTGGAACACGACTTCGTCATCGCATTGCATCTGGTGTCGGCAGCTCTCTTCCGGGCGATCAGTTTTCTGTTGATGTCAACTTGATGACATACATGCAGTGTGAAAAAAAAAAAAAATTGGAGGCAAGACTTGCTACCTTCTTCACCTGAATACAACCTGAGGTCTTTTTTTTTTTTTTTTTTTTTTTTTTTTTTTTTTTTCCTGGGTCATTATTTTTTCCTCGGTAGTGCCTTCCATGGTCCTTGCACGGCCGGTCCGTCCAGGGCAATAGGGTGACCCGGGCCACCTGGCTGGTAGCCTAGTTTTTTCCGAAAAAAAAAAATAATATATGTTTTGGTTTTTGATTTTTAACTCATGATTTGCTGCGAATTTGAACATGACTCCAAGGCAAACGTTG